ATATTATCAACAACTTTATATCATGAATTCATTTTTGATAGTAATCTAGGGGTATACAACATTAGGTTAAAAGAAATGTGGGCTGGACCAGGCATAGTGACATACACTTTAGTCCCAGAACTCAGGAGACTGAAGCACATGAATCTCTGTGAGTGGGATGGCAACTCTGCTCTATACAGGACATTCTAGGCCTGCCAGATCTATACAATCAAACTGTGCCTCAAAACAGATGGAAATGTATATCTTAATAACTACATATTCAATTGTATGGTCTGTAAAGTGGTCCAATACTAAACTACTATTGCACATAAAAATGATGTCAGATGCTCAATAAAATCCTTGGTAAATAACTTTAGGCAGTAAGCTATTATTAGCTGTTTTATTTTTTATCATTGTACACCAAGAAAATCAGGATATTTGGGAGTATCACATGAAATATGAATGTTACAGTATTAATATAGGAGCACATCTGTCCCTGGAAACTAAAATAAAAAGAAAGAAACAATAGAAATTTTGTGTCGATTATGAATAGTTTTTCTTTTGATTACACATTCTAAATTTGGTAAATTTACAAATATCTACATTAAATGAGAAAGATTGTCATTATCAAGTATGTAAATGTAAAACTAATAACTGCAAATCAAATCATGTAATGTGGTGGCATCTCTACTAAGCATTCATTCTCTGGAAGCTGAGGCAGGACAATTGTTGAGCTCAGAAGTTTCACCATCTTTGGTAACACAGAGGGCCATGTCCACAAGCCAAAATGAATAAATTTTCTTAAAGTTAATTGTCTTCTTAATGCATATACAGAAGCATGGATTTTCTGTAAGAATTACAAAATAGAGTAGTTTTAAAAAGATACAAGTTGCTTTTGTTTAGTTTTCTTTTTGTTCCTTCTAGAGAATCTGTATAATACAGATTGGTCTTCAACTCCTTATCATCTTGCCTCTGCACCCCAACCTCAATGCTGAGAATACAGTCATTCACACAACATCTAAGGACTTTCTTTTCTTCTTTCTTTAAATGTATACTCTACTACTTTAAAAAAAACTGGGAATATAAAATATTATACTTAGAGAGTAATGCTTGGAAGACAAAGTAGTAACTTTTTTGTTTGTTTGTTTTAAATTTCTGATAGGTTTAAGTAACACTGAAATCATCTCTTCCTTTAATAGAAGGTGCAAATGCACTCTGACCAATGCAGACAGACTTTTGAGTGATATTAGCAGATACATTTCAAGTATTTTATATTATCCACAATATTTTGGTTACTGCTGTTATTCATGACTTACTGCATTACAGTTTTCAGCTGCTTGATCTAAAACCTTTCTATTCATTAGCTAGCATTAGTGGTTGGACTTTAAGTGCCTGCAAAAGGTCTCTCTATTAAAAGCTTAGTGCCCAGCCTATGACCCTCCTGGTAGTACTGGACCAGTAGAGGAAATGACTTCCATTATTGAGGGTTCTTACTGTAGGGATTGTCAGTATTAGGATACTGCACTTCCTCCCTTTTCACTGTACTTTCCAATTGTCAATCCTGAGAATAGCAAGAGAAAAACCAGCTCCACAACTTTGAGTCAAATTTGAATAAAGCTTTAACTAAATACTGAACAGGATGGACTTTGGTCAGGACCACTCTCTGAAATTCCCAGCTAGCAGCCACTAGACACATTGTATAGCGGCCTTTTGAGGAGAAAACCATCGGGCCACCATATTTTAACACAAGGTCTTATTATTTTCCCATAACATCACCTCCCAGTATTCGAGGAAGTTACCTGGTCTTTGGACAGGCTGGATTTACAGGTTGCTTTTGGTCTTATAACCTAGCATGCAAAATCACTGCACTACACACTCTTACAGTTATGAGCATCTTCATCACTATGAGCATGAAACATGAACTAAATTAACTGCAGATGTCACAGCTGATGCCATGAGACCAAATCAGTCTCTCTGGATCACAAAAATAAACTTGTCACCAATATTAACCAATGTGTGACTTTTACATATTCCTGTTGTTTCCTTCTTGACATTAGGGAAACTATCCAGTGAAACACATTTAAATATTCCTCTTAACTTACTTGCAAAGTGTACTTTGAGCTTCTTTAGTTTGTAGTTGTTCTTTCAGGGCAGTGCAGGACACAGCCATGTAATTCCAACCACAAGGCTATTTGCTCTACAATGAATTTCAGTGATAGTGGGTCAAAAATGAAATGGTGTGTGTTCCAAGATAAAATCAGCCATTATACTCTTGACTTTTTGTTTTGTATTTTCAGATTTTTTTATATTACAACTTAATTTCATTTATAATTTTCATAAACACTTGCAAAAATCATGCCTTATGAGTTGAAACATTTATTTAAGAGAGAAGGGGCCTCATGAGAAGGAAATGACACTTATCCACTCTAGGAAACTCCCAGTACTCATAAAATTCATAGGCTTATGAGTTATCTTTGAGCATCTGTAGAAAGTAAACCATTGCTGCCAAAGAGGACATTCTCTGATGAAGCTGTCTAAGGACTATGCAGGAAGAATGAGGGGTCAAAGCTTTAGTATTTCAGCTACTCCAAGAACTCCTCATCATTGCTCCTGTGAGTGGACCTAATGAGTTCAGTGTTTCATCAAGCTGCATTTCGGTGAAATTGGTCGATACAATACAGTTGATGGATCCTTTAGTGTGCTCTTAGTATCCTATCAGAGGTGAGTAACTGTTTTTCACATCTCTACAGTGTCTTCTTGCATGTTATTTCTCAAATCAATTATATCCAGTCTAAAGATGAGTTGAGGAAGATTAGTTGTATGGCTCCTGTAATGTAAGAAAAGACTGATAGTTGAGAATCAGTTAAGGCTTCTTTTCTTCCTGTGGTATGGATTAGAGTTCCTCTTTGTTGTAGTGGTAGTTGCATGCCATTTGCTGTGAATTTCAAAACATGTAACCAAGGTTGAGCTGTCTGAAGATATAGCATTCTTTGGGAGAATCCCAGTGCAGCTGTCTATTTCTATGACGTATTATGTGGAATGCCTCCTTCATTATTGGGATCTGCCAAGCAAATGTCCCCCAAATGACTAATAAATTAGACCCCAAAAGTAGTATATATGGCATGGGATTGTAATATCTGTGCTGAAAGTTGCATGGCCCTTGCTATTGCCTACATAGCAACTTCCAGGCCAACCTGGAATAATTATTAATCATTTTATTACTTTAAATATAAAGAGGAAAGATCCCTTTTATAACACTACATGTTGGAATGTTCTCTTACTCTGGAATTTCATGTGATTCGTGTTTCTTTTACAAATGCATGTAGCATGGTCTGACAAATACATACATACATACATACATACATACATACATACATACATACATACATACATGATGCCTATTGTAGAATGGGCACCAGCCACACACAGCCAGAAGTCATGTCAGTACTTGTCTGTGTTACTATTGGAATATAAAATACATTTCACTTTGTTTAAAGTGTGTGAGTTTTTTATTATTAGTTTTCTTTTCAATGTTGGTGTTTTCTAATATTTTTATATCATAGCTAGAACATATTTTATTTTTTTCTTCTGGATATATTTCTAGAATAATGGCAATAAATTTAACTTTAATACATGTTTTCAACTTCATCTCAGGATGTGACTGCTACCTTCATTTTTAGATGTTGTTGTATCCTTTTTCATAATGAGATATTAATAATAATATGGTATTAAAAGGTTGAAGAATAAAGTCCTTCAGGGTTCCTGCTTCATGGAAGAGTCTGCTGGACATTCTTCAGGCCACAAAGAAAAAAGACTAATGAACTACCAATACAGGCAGGGTGGTTTTAAATTTCCTGCTTCACTGAGAAGACTACCAGACACTCTATGCCTATAGGCTGAGGATAGATGTCCCAATGTTACAGAAGAACTTTGGGTGGCTGTCCAGGAAGCAAGATGTCTCTGTCAATTCTAGGGTTTATATATGATCTTTCTTTGGTCTTTGGTGATGTTGAAGACAGATAATTATGGTTATGTTTTTCTTTGTTATGATAAAAGATCATTTAAATATAAAACTTTAGACCCACAAACATAGGATAGATGATAAAATATTTTCTTTAAATTTTGCTAATTGTTAACTCACTAAATATTGTAAACTGTACTTCTTGTTAGATAACTGTTTTGTTGCATATATTTTTACTATGTTAAAGTTAAAACTTTCCTTTTATTTAGACAGAAAAGAGGAGATCATCAGAGATGTCCTTCTGTATATATGTTTCTCTTATTAGTTAGTGAATAAAGCACTGATTGGCCAGTAGTCAAGCAGAAAGTACAGGTGTGGCTACCAGACAAGGAAAATTCTTGGGAGAGGATGCAGAGAGAAGAGACTAGGGAGATGCCATATAGAAGCTGAAGGAGTAACATGCTGGAGCATTCTCCAGTAAGATAAGACCACATGGAAATACTTAGATTGATGGAAATGTATTAATAATTAAGAGACAACTATCCAATAGGAAACCTGTGCCATCAGCCAAACAGTGTGGTTATTTGGGTCTAAATAGCTTCGGGACAAGGAAGAACAGAAAACTCTTGTCTAGATCTGTCTGTGTCTGTCTCATACATATTTTAATTCAGAAGCCACTGTCATTTTTTCACCATGTTTTGTTCCTCTTTCCATTTCCTTGTAATACTTATTACAGATATTAACCGTAGTAATGCATTAACAAACTTTATTTGTAAATTTTATGTTTTAAATATTTTAAGATAATATATAGGTCTTATTTGTATGCCTTAAAAATTGGAAAACCCAGTATTTTACACATCTCCATTAAAGGATAAATGGTTCATATTTTCTTGCTTTATGAATATTTTGAAATATATTTTATGGATAATGAGATGCGCCTCTTTTAAATGAACAGTTTTAAGCATGAGGTAATTTTATTCTGGCACACCTGCCAGCACAATCAAGATGCACCAAATTATCTTAAAACAAATTTTAAGATATGGGATATGTTTTCCACTAGGTAACGGTTACCTCATTCCATGGACCAAGATATTGACTGTCATTCAACTTATTTTGCTACAAACAATTCATCAGTGATGCCATGGGGATATATTGAGAGTTTGTCTCCCATTGAATAGATTTTTTTCTAACACAGCATTGAGTTTGAGCTATTAAGGTAGGTATTGCTTTACATTGATGAGTTTTGTTCATCAATAACTTTTGCTTAACGATTTTAAATTGCTCTTATTCAATGTTATTAAAATGTATTGTTTATGTGTTGAAATAAATTATGAGCAGACTAAGAATAATACCCCAAACAAAATGTGAACTTTTATTATTTAAATCCTTGAGATTAAATGAATAAGGCATAGCACCAAGGAGAGGTATGTTTTATATGAAAATAACAGGAACTAGAATAACCTTATTGGAGGAGTGAATTTTGTAAATTTACAGTTCTGCCAGCTCTATAACCAACAAGACTACATACCAGTAATTCACAAGCATAGTGCAGCTACTATAGCTAATATGCAATAATATTTACTTTTGAAAGAAGAAATTAAAGAAAAATTATATAATAATTTCACTACATCTAAAATGAGAACCAAGTAATAAATAATTTTATGTGTGATATATCTAGATGTGTATACTATGTATGAAATTTTAGGTGTGCTTATTCATGTCTGTTAATGGAGGCAAGAGGTAAACATTTAGTGTCTTTTTCAATCAATCTCCACATAATATAATGAGATGGGATGTCTTATTGAACCTGGAGCTCATTTATTTTACTAGACTTATTGATTAATGAACTCCAAAAACCCTCCTGTCTTTATCCTTCTAGGGCTGGGTTGCAGATGTTGACCTTAACTCTTGTTTTTATTTAAATTTTTGGATGTTTGTTTAATTAAAAATGTTGTTAGGAATCTGAACTAACATACTCATGACTATTTATCAAGCTCTCTACTGAGTGAGCTATCTCCTCAGGGCCATCACTCATGGTTTGAAAACTCCATAAATCATTCATGTAACTAATGTTATTGAATTAGACTATGAAGTATTTATGATATTTCTTGTCTATTATGTGGCAATCATCCCAATAGTTTACAAAAGTGTCCCATGTTTTCATAGAAATAAAATCTGTTGGTTTTCACAATACTTAGCACTTGCTTTTGTAACTTCATACTCTTCAAATATAAAATCATAATTTATACTATGAGTTGCAAATAAATCTTATTTTGATATTTATCTAAGATATATATTTATATATAGACAATATGTTTTTGTTCATTTTAGTAATAGATCTCTGTCCATCAATTTTTATGTCACTTAACTGTATATAAGTTTCTATGCACAATTATGTGAAATATATCATAGCTGTGACTTCTTTCATCTAAAATAGAAAAACAAACATTTGGAAATTTATTTTAATTCATTTCAAATGTGTATGCATGAGTACAACATCACATGTATTTTTAAAATTTCTTTTATTGTTTGAGGATTTCATACATGAATATAATGTTTGGATTATATTTCAATTGATCTAATTGATTCCCTAGATCAACATTACTTTTCTCTCTCAACCTCATGTGGTTTTGTTTTTAAACACAGAGACCACTTAGTTTTGCTTGCATAAGGATAAGTGTTGGGCCATCTACTGGAGCATATTGGACATCTATATCATACCACAAATGTCTCAATGATCATTGTAGAAGAGGAGATGGTTATATTTTAAGGTTCCTTTTTAAAATTTAGTAACAGGAACACACTAGCCAGGTTTCTTCCTTGTCAGCTATAAGACATTTTTGTTGTTCCGAATGGTCTTTATGCCTGCTGATTCCTGCCTATTGGCTGTTGGCCTCCCTCTAACCACAGACACAAGTTCTGTGATTGAACCACGCAGAGTTTTCTGTTCTTGGGTTTTTCATTTATAGCACTTGCAATTACAAAATATTTCCTCCTTTGAAATTAGATCTTGTAAAAATCATAGTCAGTTCAAAGCTAACAGCTCAAAAGTATACCTCTTACAGAAATGAAGGAGATGGTTTTAAAAAGCATAATCAATCAAAGAAGCTTGTACACTCTCTGACTGACCCTTACCAGTAGAGACATGTACTTCAATCTGTAAAACTACCTCAAATCCCTTGACTACGCACAGGTTTTCTATTCATTGGCTTTGGGTCATCATCAGATGTAGGTGTTAAAAGTCCCTGTCCAGCTTCCCCTCTTTGTTTCTATGCTGTCCTTTGGATTCTACTCTAGGATGTTATGGTTTTAATAGCTTTGCATAAAATATTCCGTTCATGTTTCTCTTGACCTGTATAATTTTTGCTTTGTCAGTAAGGTAATTTTGTAAGATCAGTAGTAATACTTTGTTTTATTTATATTTCCTTTACATATATAGAATTTTGTGATTTTACTCTGTCTAGTGAAATTTTGGGTATATATTATTGTTCCCTGGGGTTATCTTTAGACACCTTGCACCAGTGTTTATATCAGTCATGTATTTAATACAATATATCACCAAGGTTATAACTAGAAGAGTAAAGAATTAGCTGAAATCACTGGCCTTTACAAAGCAGAGATGTGAATTACATTTCTCTGGCAAAGCAAAAGGAGAAGCATTTACCATCTGTCACAGATCATCTCCTAGTACTGATGCATTAGTACTAAAATGGGACATGTTCATCTATCTCTTACTCTCCTTGGATGTAATACTCTTTTGTTATTCAAGGTTTCCACTCAGGAGGCCTTGTTATTACCATTTATTATGTCTTCTTAGACTTCTTTTCAATATAATTGTTTCTCATCCTTGACTTAGTGACAATTGAAACACTAACTGCATGTGGCTATTTTTATAGCATACTCATCAACTAATACTTTAGACAAGGATTGCATGTCACAATGATTGTGCAAACTGCACGTACATGCACATTGTGTATGTAAGAACACACCCCAATAAAAACTTTCAACTATATAAAATTTGAACATTAATAATCAGACTATTTTGTTTAAAACTAAGGAAAGTTACTAAATGCAATTTTAGTGACTAGATCAGTAATGAACAATGAAACAGATCAGTTTAATAAATTAGTTCAACAATCATCAATGAAAAAGTTCTTCAGTGTTCAGTGGTAAATTAAATACATGTGCTTCTGTTGAATTCTGAATAACAATGTCATGCAGTCTATTGAGTGAAAGCATTTATTTATAATTTTGACCAGTGACAGGTTAATATAAAACAAATAAATAAAAGATTATTTAATAGCTGATGATATATTAAAATAACTAAATACTGTTTGCCCTTAACTTATGGGAGATAACTATGTATAGACAGAATCCAATCATGAATGCCCTCTTTCCTTCTTAGAAACTCCACAGTCAGGTATTTTTCCTGTTTTCAATTAACCTTTGTGTGACTACACTTTACTTGCATTTTAAAACCTTTATTATGACATTAACACAAAATCCTCAAAGTGCTTTAAATAATATTTATTTTTGGAAAAAGAATTTAGCCCAAATCTAACTAACTTTTGGAATGAGAATCAATAAAGTTATGATGTAATGATCTTCTTTTTATTTTTGTAATTTTAAACAAATGGCTCAAATCTGCTATGAGCTAAATGTGTATATATCTCACAATTATTATAGTTATTACTACATTTATTATTACTATATTTAGAGGTTCATATTTAGGGGAGAATTTGGGGAATAGAATTCTTATATTAGAATCAGTGCCATTACATAGCAACTTTGGGGTGCTTTCTCCTCATGAGAAGTGACCATCAATAACACTAGGAAGAATATCTAGTGTTCTGGATTCTCCTCATTCACACTCAAGAAACCTGCAGGAGTTATAAGTCACCCATATTATTATACTGTTGTAGAAACCTTAACAGAATAAGGCAGAACTCTTGTCTTTAATATGGGGATATGTATTTAGCCATAGAATTGCAGGATAACAGAATGTTCCCATGATTTTTTTAAGTTTAACTAATTCATTTGTAAAAATGTATTTTTATTTTACATACCTATTGCAGTTCCCTCTCCCAACCTTCATGTTTCTCTCCCCCCCCAACCCCATCCCCAATCTTCTCCTCAGAGAGAGTGGTGCCTTTCATGGGGAATAAAAAAAGTCTGTTATATCATGTTGACGCTGGACAAAGGCCCTCCCCCATGTATGTAGAGTTAGCAAGGTGTGCCTCCATAAATAATATACTTCAAAAAGCCGGGTCATTTACTATGCATAAATACTGGTCCCACTGCCATTGGTCCCACAAACTGCCCACGCGATACAACTGTCACCCACATTCAGAAGGCCTAGTTTGGTCCTATGGAGGTTCCCCAGCTGTCAGTTCAGAGTCATTGAGCTCCTACTAGCTTGGATGAGCTGTTTCTGTGGATTTCCCCATCACGTACTTCACTGTTCTGCTCATATTACCACTCCTTCATCTCCTCTTTACTCTGGGAGCTCAGCCCAGTGCTTAACTTTGGATCTCTGCATCTATTTCTATCAGTTACTAGATGAATGTTCTATGATGGACAACTAAGGAAGTCATCAATCTGATTTCATGGAAAGACCAGCTCAAACATCCTCTCCACTATTGCTTAGAGTCTTAGTTGGGGTCATCCTTGAGGATTCCTGGGAATTTCCCTAGAGCCAGGTTTCTCACTAATCCCATAATGGCTCCCTCTATCAAGTTGTCTCTTCCCTAGCTCTCTCTCTCTCTGTCCTTACCCCAACTGGACCATCCTGTTGCTTCATGTTCTCCCCACCTTCCCCTTCTCTCCCCTCACCTCCCTGCCCCAGCTCCACACTCCCCCACCCCATGCCCAAAATAAGCTAATTAAACATGGGGTACAGATCTAACAGAGAATACTCAACAGATGAATCTCAAATGGCCAAAAGACACTTTAGGAAATACTCAATACCCTTAGCCATCAAGGAAATACAAATCAAAACCACTTTGAGATTCCATCTTATAGCTGCCAGAATGACTAAGGTCAAAATCACTGATGACAGCTTATTTTGGAGAGTGTGTGGAGTAAAGGGAACACTCCTCCACTTCTTGTGGGAATGCAAACTTGTACAACTGCTCTGGAAACCAATACAGTGGTTTCTCAGAAAATTGGGAATCAATCTATCTCAAGGCCCAGAAATACTACTCTTGGGTA